CAAGAAAAGTAAACAACGCGCAAGGGGTTAGTTCGAGCCAAAACTTTGCCCTAGAACGTAATCCCTACTTCTCCCCCAGGGCAGTAACCTGACGTGACTAGTACGTGGACAGCAGTCAACTTCAAAAAACACGCGACCTCGATGAGCGCTAAGTTTGAGCCTGAAGTATGGTCACGACATGCTGCTCAGCAGATACCTTTTTTCGACTGCTGTCAATCAACTATTACATGGATGTCCAATATCAAAGATTTGCCTATGGTAATGGTGCTAGTCTCTTATTTTTCAAGGTATGGCTTGGCATGCAGACGCACGGACGGACAACCAAAACTTTTTTTAGATCGATGAGTTAACAAATTTTCTAAGGAATGGGCCTCCGCTCGCGCGCCCTTGGCGCGCAGGAACTCCGCTATAATTTCTGTTCTTCATATTTCAGTTTCTCCTGTGTGGGTTGCTCATCTCGTTTTGTGTGGCCTAAAAGACACAAAATCAGGAGTTTGGGTAGTTCTTTCTCGAGCTTTCGTTCCGTCCTTACTTTTATGACAACATGATTTTCAATTGTGAAATTTGTTCCATTTTCTTGCCATAAGAAACTCGTAACTCGTAGTAACTCGTATGTTTGTGTAAAACAGGGTCGTCTGCCAGTAAAGTGACTGCTTATGAAGGTGTACTTTAAGGGAAATTCACCACACAAAGTGACGTGTAAGTTCCTTTTATTCTGCAGTACCAACCATGCTACAAACTCTTCACGTAAGCATACGTCATCTTAGTAAAAGTAGCTTTCAAAAACTGTTTTTAACTTGTCGTGTTAATTACAGCATAAGATATAATGTAGTGCAATTTAATGGAGTTTTCAATACAGCGGCCAGCGGCATCGTTAGCTATACATGTGGAAAGATTCCATGCGTTTGACTGTTTGTAAGCCTCCATGCTCCCTGCCTTCCCATGAGCCAGGATTTGTCAGCAACCCGAGTATAGCGTGTTTCTAGGAGCTGGCTATTATATAAGTGAAACCGCATGAATGTCACGGAAACCCAGCCACCTCTTAACGACCAGGTTGTATTTTTTTTTATGAACGAATTTGTTGATTAAGGCAACTGCAACATTTGCAAGGCTGCAAAAGTTTTAGTGATTAAACTACTTTTATTTTAACCTAATCCGAACGCCATGAACAATTCATTAATCGTTGCTGTTAATTTTCAGGTGGAGTTTCGGTGTAGTTCTGTGCGAAATATTGACCGTGAGTATGATCATTTCTGCCTTTAAAATAGAATACTTTTATCACTTAGGCCCCTTATCTACGTAGTCTCAAACAATTTCTTGTTTATTTACATTGTTCATAGGTGGCTCTCCGTATCCGGGGATTAACGGTCGTGAAATTGCAAACAAGCTCCAGCAGGGGTACCGGATGCCAAAACCT